TTTGTAATTGAATTGCATTTTAATTAAAACTTTTATTCAAAACGTTATCGCAATGTGTTATAAATGTGTATAAAAAATGACAAATAAATGATTATTTTGTGAAATTAATTGTAAAACATAGAGATTTTCATTAATCCGTCTGACCTCAAGGTATTATACTTGAGACCCAAACCCAAGTATAGAAATCAATAGTAAGCACTCAATGATGATACTGGAGTCGACCTTAAGATTTTCAGGTAATGGCCCGTATATGAGATAATTAGTAACTTTAATAATAGACTTAGATTTATAATAAAGGGATTGATTGTATAATACAATTAAACTTAACATTTTGATGACTAATCAAGTACTGTATGCTGGCATCCTGTTAACCAATTAGCAGTTTGCTGTTGAGATAAGAATATGATTTCTGGTCATTAAGATTAAATCCTTTTGAATATCCTTTACATGATTCATGCAAATATAAACTCTTCATTTATGAAGTAATAATTCATATATTCATATATTCATGGTCATCAGACATATTAGTGACTAACTTATAAAAGATTGTTAAAAGTGATATAAATTTCATTTAGTTAACAAAATCATTTTGGAGTATAAGAATAAAATGAAGTTATTTGACAAAATTGAGTTCAAATTTGTTGCAATCATGTTATTCATAATAGTCTGTAAGTATTATTAATTGACAACACATAAGCAAATGTTGTATTAATGTGTTTGTGATTGGATTGAGTGAAACGGTGGTCAGTCTTATGCGAAAGCGGAGGTCAGTGCGATGAGGGATGGGATGAATTTGGTGATAAATGCTTTAAGTACCACAATGACATGGTTGGTGCTAATTTTCACGACGCTATGACTGTCTGCGAGCACTTCTATGGCGCCACTCTTGTCACCATTCATTCGGCCCAAGAGTTTGATTTCATTTACAAAATGGTTTTCGAGGAAAAACACGCCAAACATCCCGTTTGGATCGGTTTGATCCGTGTCTCCAATGAGTCGTTTGTCTGGTTTGACAGAAGTCCTCTTAATTACACGAATTGGGGTCAGTTTTGCAGTAATACATACATACAGTACTACTATCCCTCGTTTTCACACCTTCATAAATATAGTGGTTTAACGGTATATCTTGATACAAATTTGTAGCAATGAATATAATTATTAGTCAATTGGTAATAACTTATTATAATTTAACAATTCTACATAATTAAATTTTTATACTCGTTCTTTATATCTTATAAATGTATTTTTATATACTGTATAAAGTACTGTACTTATTGTTAGTGCATACTGAATACTTAATATATTAGGAATACATTTGAATTACAACAGAAAAATTCTAATAAAATACAACTTTTATTATGAATGTTAATTCATAAATGTTAGAATAAATGCCGTAAACTTGATATATTGTAGGTCCTAATCAGCCATACAACTTGTTATCAAAGTGCTACTGCACTGTACTGAATAGTGTGGCAGCGGTTAGGGGCAAGTGGTATGACGTGGGCTGCACCATAACCTATCTGGTCCTGTGCCAGAAATATCTGCACCACAATACAGACAATGAGGGCATCAACCAAACATCTAATGGCATATCAATTGCTGATCAAATTAATATGGTGTTAGGCGATGTGGAAAGTGCTAACAATCGCTTTATTTATCAACAGTTCAATGCATTGGCATTTAAAACAAATGCTTTTATTATTCTAAATGTAATTCTAATCACTATATTATTTGTGATTTTTGTGCTTTTTATAGTTAAATATAATTATCGGTCTCTATTCATAAGACGTAAACACCAAACAAATGACAATTTCTCTCTATTTGCTAATAATTCTGACATCATTTCTGAGAATATATCCGTTTAAGTAATCTTTACTTTAAAACTTAATCTTATATTCTGTTATAAATGTGTTTAAAAATGATAAATCAATGAATAATTTGTAAAATTGATTATAAAACAAGGTTTCACATTAAATACACAATTTAATAAATGCATTCATTTTTATAGTTTCTTATTTCATTGTTTCTATCGTTTTAATGCAATTCTTAATCAAGAATTTGTATTAAAAATGTTTTTCACAACAATTGATGTGTTTTTCAAATGACATAAAAGTGAAGTTCGAGTAAAAGTCAAACACAATCGTCTTCTTCAAAGACATCCACTTCTGGAGACAACACTTCCACTCCAAGACCACAAATCATGTGAAATGTGTTGAGACAGT